AGTCAGAATTCTGACTGAAATGTCCTATTAGCTGTTCTATGAGCCCTAATGCAGCCTGGTTAAAAGCCCTAGAATGAAACCACAGCTTTTCTTCCTTTTATGGTTTGATCATGAATATTTAGATGAGCTGTGCTCTGATTGGTCGGTTTACAACGAGCCAAGCTGCTGATCAAAGACGCATCATAGCAACAAGCACTCACTCACTAAAACATCATTGATATGGTAGGGGGACCAGACGTCCTCTTTTTCCTGGACATGTCCCACTTTTCAGACCTAAAAAATGTCCAGGGGGAATTCAAAATCGTCCGGGATTATGGTCGACTACAGTGCAGCACGTAGTGGAAACAGGGAGCCAGCGGGGGGGCGGAGCAACCGAACCCGACCCTGGAGAGAAAAGCTGAATACTTTTTTCCCACTACAATCCACAGGAGAGAAATCTATTCTCTTCTATTTCTATGATCACTCAGCGATGATGAGCTCTGCACAGGTCAGCATTCAGAGAGGAACAGATGTGGGTCGGTGCATCTCGACGGGTCACATGCTGCAGGGGGGGGACGCCTACCTTCACATAACCCCGCGGCGCCAGCGTAGAAATGAACAGCTGACTCCACGGATCGTCGAAGATCATGTCTGACACAAACCTCAGCGGTCCGGAGTAAACTTCCTGCAGGCTGAGAACATCCAGATCATTTATTTACATTCATCCTTTCTTCACTCAAGTGGAACCAGAGCAGAAGCTGCTTCCTACCCGATGACATAGAGGTCTGCGGTCTTTGGCGAGTTCAGGTGGAGGAGCGAGGCCACGTCAGCAGGAGGATCAGCAGTCGCCACGTTCCACGTCACCATGTGAAGTCTGCAGGATCAGAAAATATTAGAAAAGATTCAGACTCTGATCCTGAACATAGGAATCAACCAGAGAAAAGGTTTCTGCCAATGGCTGAACAGAATCTACTGATTGACAGGTCAGGGTAGAGGGACAGGCGGTCCTCTGCTCCACCCGCTCCACCTGAAGCTCTTCTTCCTGGGCTTGCCGGCGCTCTTGGAGCAGGACAGAAAGGCGCCGTCCAGGGTCCGCACCACTTTCTCATGCAGCTCAGACTTGGGGTCCAGGTCGTCCAGGCAGGTCATCAGCTGGCTGAGGCGGTGGCGCAGGGCCAGTTTGCTGCCAGTGGACTGCGTGGCATCAGAGGAGAGGGTGTCGCTGCGGGGGCGGCCCATGGCGCCCAGCAGCCGGCTGATCTCATCCATTCTGGCTGCAGATCCAGGGAAGCGAGGAGGTTTGATGAATGATTCTAGTAGAAATTGAAAACGGAGCGAAAGGCAAAGGAAGGAGCGAGCAGAGAGCGTTTGCAGAGGGAAGGAGGAACGCCGCGCTCTGGTTTATGTTCTCTGGCTGGACGGGCGATTAGAGAACGGCTCCGTTCTTTACGCTCTAACCTTCACCTCTAATCTGATGGAAAAATGTCCAAACAATAAGCTTATTAAAGGAGTTGAGAAACCAGAAATCCTCCCTGTGAGCAGCTGAGAGCCGCGCCGCTCCGGCCTCAGCGGCTCCGCGGGTTTTCACTCCAAATCCGCATCAGCTGAGCGCCGTTGGGAAACTAATCCACCTCCCAGAGGGCTGCAGGGTCTGTCCCAACCGCTGGATTACAGGACAGACAGACGGACTGAGAGACTTCAACTTTATGGTCATTACACTGACAGAGCAACGAAATGAACTCTGCATTTAACCCCTCCCCCTGGGCAGCAGAGGGCTGCCATGGTGCGGCGCCCGGGGAGCAGGGTGGGGGTAAGGGTCTGGCTCAGGGACCCAGAGGGGCAGTCTGTGGGAGTGGGGCTGGAACTCAGAACCACTAAGAAACAAAGCTCTAACCACTGGGCCACCACTCCCAATATCCATAGACAGACCCTCCATCACACGGAGGAGGAGGAGGAGGAGGAGGAGGCTGCAGAGGGAGATGAAATTCAATCTATTCAGTTTATTTCTATAGCTCCAATTCACATCATGTCATCTCAGGTCACTTTCCAGTTCACCAGATCATCCAGTCAGATTGATTCAAAGT